GGTCCCCTATTTAAGCGTTTATTCCATGAAAATTAGCTGATAAATAATGCTGATGATAACGGCTGTTATCTCGGGGACCCAACTGCCCGATGCCCTTGTACAACCACAGAATAGATTACAACCGTCAACCAATGACAGAATTATAGGTGAAATTTCACCTATTCTGTGGTACAACTGTACTACTTGATAGTACTACCACAGATTTCTATATAGTATCGAAATCGAAGCAGTATAGGCACATTTATATATATCTGTAAATATAGAAATCTGAGCCTTATGGTCAGAGCCGGATTAACATAGGTGCAAAAGGAGCTTTTGACAAATTAATTTTCATATTAAATAGGAGTATGGAAAGGTACTCTGAAATAAATAATAAATTTGGATTTTTATTAAATATTGAAAACGAATCATTAGATAACATTCGAAAAAAAAATAGCAACCTACTTGAATTTTATAATATAGACTTAGAAAACGACTTAGGAGAAGAATTAATACAATTTAAAAGTATAATGGCAAATATTTCAGCTGAAAATAAGACATCATTTATTACATTTCATAAAACCTTATAATAACATAGAAATTACTTTAAAAATTATCTGTGTGACTGTGTTCTACCATCTTCAAACGCTAGCGTCGAACGTTCGTTTCGGTTTTGAAAAGAATAAAAAATTATTGAAGATCATCTTTAGAATAACAGAAAATGTCAGATTTGTCAATACAGTGCATCGAGTCTGAAATAGTTAGAGAAATTAAGTGAAAGGAACTTGTTAATAAATTTGCAACAGTCAAATTGGAGAAAAAACATATTTGTTAAACATGGGTACCTATTCATTTTTTTTTCATTTTATTGTATTTAATTTTAATCATAATAAATTATAATGAGTGTGTGTATGTATGAATTAAAGATTTTAATAATTTGGTATTTTAATAGCTTGTAGTAGTTATTTACGTAAATAGTTAATAATTTAAGGTATCAGTTGTATATGTATTAAATTGCTTAACAGACTCATATAAATATATAATATTACATGAAATACATATATTATTTTAATGACTTTTTGATAAAAAGTTCCTATCAAATATATAAGTATTTCTCCTGGGCGGCTCTGATCCTTAATCAGGCTCTGCTTATGGCTTAAACTGACTACTGAGTATAAGAATAATACAGATTGCAGATTAATTCTATGATAGTTCCTTGAAGGCTAGAGGATAGAATCTTTAGCCAGATAAACTATAAACAATTATAAACTTAGTTTATATGGTCCAAGACTAGAATAACGAAACTATGGACTATGGATATCTTAGATTTAAATTATACCTTAGTCCGTGAAGGAGACCAAACGGTGAACACCAGAGTACCAGACAGTAAAAAAACTATTTATATTACTGGTAAATTATATTTCATCTAAGAAAAATATATCTATTCGGATTAGAATAAATAACAAGTCGCGGTATGACTGGCCGCTGAAAAATTTTTATTTGTATTTAATATTATGTTAATTACATCACTATATTAATCATTGTTCGATTAATTTATTCAAATGCCCGATGTTTGATCAAGCATGGTTAATATATTATATATACAATTATTAAAACTAAAAGCTAGAATAAATAGTTGTATACAGTATTATACTCACGACGATTTCATCCTGAATATAAATATTATGATATAAGTAAAAGGTAATTATACAATATTAAGGTATGTTTATTTCGGACAAATCGTGTATATAGATTTTTGTTCGAGTTATGCAAAATCAAATGAAATCTGGATTAATAATATAGGTAGTAGTATTTAGAAATTGTATTTTTATTTGTCGGATAGCATTTAAAGTTGAACTCTCGTCGTTGAACAAGCATTCAATAGTGAACATTCTGAACACGATCTGCAAATGGGTACATAATTTTGGAAATCATTGATAAATAATAATAATACTAACATAAATTAATTCATCGTCACCATTGATTTCATAACTCATTTACACAGATTCACATAATAACAAATATAAGTTTCAAAAGGTTAGGTTAGGTTCGCATGGAGTGTGCCCACTGCCCATGCACTCTGGCACGGACAATAAAGTTCAAAGGATGAATATTTTAGAAAGGAAAGGTTTATATTATATAGTTTAAAATTTAAATATAATTCCACCAGCGAGTGATAATACATACATATATATATCGGTATTCGGTACATGCTCATTTTATTTTATACCCCTTCAGAATTGCGACGATTGGGATAAAAACTTGTTCGCGAACAAAATTGTCTCTGCGGCCAGCAAGACGGAAATAACCGTCAACCAGCAAGACAAAAGTAAAGGATTTATATTTAAAAAATATTCCTACTTAGAATTAATATTAATGTGATTGATTAAGTTGTACCCATTTCAACTATTTATTAAAGTTTAAAAGTTGACATTATTCTGTAAATGGGCGTATCCAGAGAACGCATCAAGACGTGAACAAATAATAATAAACAGATCCATTCTGGATCTATTCTGGGCCATTCCCATATCACACACTCATATACTTGATATCCAAGGAATCCCTCCCCCTCTTGTGTGACACATGTAAAACCGTTGTGCGGCTTTAAGAACTAAATAATTTGCCGCCTTTTAATATAAATATTTTTCTAGTCTAAAAAATGTTATTAAAGCATACAATTATAGTTTTTTCCTTTATGACTTAAAATTTTAATGATGAAAACTAAAAATATACATCTCTACGATTATGAAATTGGAAAACATAAAATATAAATATTACCACAATCCCGTTGGTCTAAAAACATTTTATAATTAGTTCTATATAGTTACATATTGTAAAAATGTAATATTAAAAATTATTTGCCGCCCTTGAGAAATTGCCGCCCTAAGCACTAGCTTAAAGTGTTTACTGGGAAATACGGCACTGCTCCCATCACAATGGTACACATCATTCTGGACTGCCCTGCCCCAAATTCTCAACCGCACGTTTTCTTCTCAATGATCCAAGGTCAATCGAAGAAGCCCTCAGTCAACACAACTCCGACATTTTTAAATTTTTCAAAAAAATAGATAAAAAACTGTAAATATTATAATGTTTTTCATTGTATTCTTTCAATAATAAGATAATGTCAACTTTTATACTGTAAAACTTTAACTTTTTGTAATTATAGGCTAATAATCTTTGTAATTGAAGCCTTTATGTTAATAAAAAAAAAAAAAAGTGAAGAACTGAATTCGTTGTGCATGTTCAAAATACGAGAGTTACACGAAGATTTAATTAATACTATTATTGTCAGTCATAAGAATTTGTGGTCAAATTGGACCAACTATTAATAGTTTAGTCTCATGAATTCAGAATTCAAAAATATGGATTGGATACTGAGTTGTATCATAACATTCATAAAATCATAACCTCGTCGTGTCTTGTAGTAGGGTTCCGTTTATTTAATACATAGTAGGTACTACAAAAAAGGTTAGGTTAACAACTTGTAACAACTTGTAGGTAACAAAATGCTGATCTCACGTTACCTAAATCATAGAACAATAAATGTTGAATATTATAATATTCAACTCTATACGACACGACGAGCTGTGAATCCCCCTTTAATATAACTGGTATCAACCAATCTATTATCAGTGGTATAGAACAGGTCATATAACAATACGATTATAATATACATATATATCATAATATACAATTTATAAGATTAATATTATCAATTATCATTTGACATTTATCAATGATTGAGTTCACTCATCACGGTGAAGTGAAGTCGGGATACCGAAAACTCTTGTTTTTTTTTCCAATCACTTTTTACCCGATTGTACTTAACACTTAATATAAAATTAAAATCCATAATTTTTTGTTGTATAAATGTGTTCAAAGCTCAAGGTATCCATCAACATTCTTTTGTATTTAATTTTTTTACTTAACAATGCTTTATACTTTATGTATTGTTTAATTAGGACAATGAACAATGTCGATTCAGTTGGTCCTCCAGATCCAGTATCAAATTTGAGACCAATTAAATATCATATACCACAACACGAGTCTCTAGTTGAACGTCAATTGCGGCTTAAGCGAATTGAAGTAGCAAAATGGAATCATGAATTTTGGACTAACCATAACCTGAGATTTATAAAAGAGAGGGAAGCATACAAAAAATGTTTATCCGACAAGGGCATTTCAACAGCCACTGCCGATCAAATGTCTGAATTTTACAAAGATTTTTTAGACAAAAATTGGAAAACACATATGACTTATAACTTTGAATGGTATAAAAAAAATATAACAATTGTACGTTTAATGATGAATAAAAATATGTTCAAAGCTATTCAGTGGATTAAGATATTTAAATTTTAACTATAGATTAGAATGCGTCTTATAAAATCATTTGTAAGTCAAGTATTAAAGTTTGTTAAATAAATTATTTTACTTGTTCAATAACTGTATTCATGTATTTTTTATTATAGGGTATAAATCGCTATTCTACTTTCATACATCATATTCTTTTTGTGTTATTATTATATAACATTTACCTCTCACTTACACTACTTAAGGCAAGTTCCTTATCAAAAACGGATTGTGGTAATGAGAAATCAAACACTTCATATTTTCATCTTAAACTATCTAATGGCCGATGGGACAGTAGACACATGGTCAAAACATTTGATAATGTTATACAAGCAGAACAAAAACAAACCGGAATGGTATGTTTAGCAACACAATGTTCCGTAGATAGATTACATTCTATTGTAGATCTTGCAAAAAATTGGAATGGATCAATATCGACTGCAATTTATGTAGCTGGTGAAGAATTATATTATTTACAAGGTAGGTTTATTTTACAGATGTGCAACTGTGCTAAATTAATTGGACTATTAGAGCATTAACAACTACTTAATTATAGATTATGTAAGATTTCTACGACGATGTTATCGAACAGTTCGTCAAACTGTTACTTTTCATCTTGCCCTACCTGCAAATCAATTTCCACAATCTACTCAATCAGGTTTTACAACAGATCAATTACCATGTCACCAGGATCCAATTATTGTTCTATCAAATTTGATGAAGCAATTACCAGAAACTCTTAAACGATGGAGAATTCGCATGCCTTACCCTCAAAATCATCTGAGAAATCTAGCTCGTTTAAATTGTCAAACTCATTATGTGTTGGTTACAGACATTGATATTATTCCTAGCATTGATTCAGCAATATTACTCAATACATTTTTGTCTGAAAGACCGAAATGTCTAAAATGCGTATATGTCTTGCCCACATACGAAGTTCATAAATCAGCTAATCCACCAAAAAATGTCACTGAGTTAATAAAATTAAAATCTACTGGGCTTGCAAGATATTTTCATATGGAAGTCTTTAAATTAAACCAGATGCCAACTAATTTTCTAATGTATGTATCAATGCTGATTGGCCATAGAATAGATGAAATCGATTTAATGAATTTCATCTATTTTGTCATTTGGCTAGCCTAACCATAGTAGTTTTTTTTTATTACTATTAGCTTCTAGCTTCAACTATGATATCTCAACAATTATATAAGATAATTAAATATACATTTCAAAATAATATTTAAGATATTAATAAAATAGTTAAAAATACATTTGGATTGAACACCCATAGTAGTTCCTTAATATTTTATTAAATAGACCCAAATAGTTTTTAATATTTATGAATAAAATAAAAAAAAGTTTATTAATTTTTCATATTTATCCTTTACAATAGTAGAACTTTTTGTATTTTATATTAGAACATAACTCCATATTATATATGCCTTACTAATACATTTTAGTAAAAAAAATTATTATATTTCATTAACCATGGTTAATAATTATACTTTATTTTTAGGTTTGAAAAAAGTTCAAAAAAATATAACGGTTTACACATCAGCCATAAAGTACCTAAATATCAATTGTATTATGAACCATTTTATGTGTCATTAAACAATGTTCCAAGCTACGATGAAAGGTTCATTGGATACGGATACACAAGGAACTCACAGGTTTGCCTTTAGAAACATAAAATTGTGTAAATTATTATCATCAAATTTGTTATTTTCAGGTGTACGAAATGTTTGCAGCTAAATATCAATTTGAAGTACTTGCTAATATTTTTACGTTCCAGCATAGTTTTGCCTCGCAGAAAAAGAAATCTAACTATCGAGAAATTCAATATGCCGAAAATTTAGCATTATTCACTAAATTTAAAAAGGAAATAGCTGCACGATATTTACTAAGCCATTATATATGAATTCAAAAATTATTTTGTTACTTTTTTCCAATTTTATTCACAATATTTTTGCATTTGTATGAATTTGTTATTAAAATTTTAATTAGTACATAGATACTAAGCTAATCAAAAATAATTTGTATTCAGATAATTATTTTTAAATTATAATACTTAAACTTTTGCTTTGATTCTGTGGTAAAATCCTAATAAAAATATTTGAAAGTTATGTTTCAATATTTAAACTTGTATATCTTTTTCTAAATAGTATAAATTGTTTATTGCACAATTAGAATTTTAACCAAATAAATAAAACAATGTTTATGTAAATAATATGAGATTTATATATTATAATATGAATTTTTGGAGACCGATAACAATACTAAATCAATCAGTATTTTTTTTTTATCCGGTATTGCACAAACACTTAATACACGTAACAAAATTGAAAATAAATTAATCTTTAAATAAAAAAAAAATATGCATTCATTAAGTGTGCATTGTTGTGTATAAAACAGTACATTTTAAAATAAAAACTAATTAAATGTATACAGCATTTTTATTATTTGAAAAAATCGTATAAAACTCAGGTAACGTCTAAGTATTTATGTACAACATTCACGCAACTGGTTTGCAACTATTGTTTATAATTTTATAAATAATATAATAAAAATAATAATAATTAAAAAATCTAGGAAAACAATAATTGTTCGCTTAAAAGTAACACTATTAAATGCATACTGATATACTTATTTAATATAAATATTGTTTTTGTTTTTTTTAAATTTTTTTTTTCAAACTTAATACTAAATTCACTCTAAAACAAATCTTTTATTTACACAATATTTACAAAAGACTTCTTATTGGATCAAAAAATTTTTTTTTAAAACTATTTCAAAATAATTGTTTTGTAACAGAAGTTTATGTAGAAGAACAAAATCAAATCAGTCCAATTAAACTTGTCACTTTAAGTACTGTTAGTTTATTTTTGTTATATTGGAAGACAGTATGTCAATAGTCAGTTGATGGAGGAGAATTATTAAAACTATTTTGTATGTACAAGTAGATTGTACACTATTGGCATTAAACTAAATGTTTGGGTACACCACAATTTTGATTGATATGTACAAAAATTACAACGTTAACAAATTAATCTTCTGAGTGTGGTCAGCTGGAATGACACAAATCAAATAAAAGCTGTGAAATTGTTCTTGACGATTCAACATTACTCAGTGCTATATTTGATAAGTGTGCTTCATATCTTTTTAAATGCCTAAAAATAACAATGCGAACATCAGATATCATGAACATATATTTAAAATTATTGAAATTAATTGTTACAAACCATCTTCCAGTTGAAGAATAAATGACTAGGTTTCTCAAAATAAGTGCTGATGTTAGACGTATGCTTTTGGTTACTGGACCTTCATTATCATCCTACACAAAATATACACTATAAATTAGAACATTATCATAGGCAATAATAATATAGAGCTAAATAAGAGAGCTAGATAAATTTGTAGATATTTTTAACTACATTCAACTGTGATATAAAAATATTTCAGTTCTTAATTAATTTAAGGTTATACAAATTATTATAGTTTGAAGTTTAATTTACTTTAGTGAAGTTTCGTTTAGTCACTGATAAAACAATTTTCTTAAATTAAAAAATTCACCATCTCAGTTCATTTTAATTTTTGGAATTTTTTTAAATTTAATTTGAAGTAGGCACTTATTTATTATTTATGACATTTTATCTGTTAGTTTCAAAAATGTCAAATATAAACATAGATTTAAATTTTTTTTTCATTTCATACGATATTTTGAAATATGTTTACTATATTATAGGTATAAATTAGAAATTCTGAACTATTAGCTAAGTTACTCTTTTAAAGTAATGCAATATTAGCTTATCTCAAGATATTATGCAATATTTAATAATCATTTGACATCTACTTAATTTCAAAAATAGGAATTAAATAAAGCTATATAAAAAACTGAAAGTAAATTTGTAAATGTTAAGCTAAAATGTATTATGGGATAACTTATAAAACATAGAAAATTAATATGGGTGGTTTTGTAGGAAAAAAATTAAATTCATTAGTATAGTAAATTTATGAAATTTTTTTTTGAAATAATTATAAATTAAATAAAAAATATGAAACAAAAAATGTATGTTTTTATCCTGAATGGTAGACATTTTTTTATATATAAATATTATTGTAACTTATAAATATTATTTAATATGATATAAATATTATTTAATATGATACAAATATGATATAAATATATGTTGGTATACACACATAATACATAAAACTACATAACTACCAATACAAACCATATATTGTAATATATCATAAATATACACATTACATTGATATCAATTGTAACATGTTTACAACATAATTACGTAAATAAATAGGCAATGCATTAAATAAATAATAATTTATATTTTGCATACATAATATCTAAAGTGCTGATTTTATAATGTGCTTAAAATATTAATATTATGCTTTTAAAGCTGTTTTAAATTTAATTTCATCTATATAAAATGCTAGATAGCATTAATTTATCTATCTATACAAGGGACTAACTAAAATGCTACTTCTGACTGAAGTTATGTTACATTAATAATTTATAAAGAAATCATTAAATCATCAACAAACATTTCACAAGGATTGAAATAAGTTGTTGAAAATATATAAATTTAAAAAAAATGAAGAATATTACAAAGAATTTAACTATTGTTATAGTTGTTAATTTGACGCCTTGCCAGCAGATGTGTTGTCTCCACCTCACATTATTCAAAATCATAAATTAATTGTAATCAGCAGTTTCAGTAGTAAGCTATGGTAATAGAGTGAAATGACATATTATATAAGAAACATATGGTTCTTTTTACTATATTTTAATTTTTAAGCAAGTTATATGTAAAATATAACAATTGAAAAATCCTCATCCGTCTTAAAATGTAAAATATTATTAAAAAAAAAAAACAAAAATCATGTTTTAATCTTAAAGTTTGATGTAAGGACAATTTTCTCTAATATTAAAGCTTGCTGTACCACAAAATTGAAACGGCTGAACACAAATTTGCTAAATTACACGTAAGACAGAGACAACACATGCAGAAGTCCTCTTAATAATTTAAATATTAAAATCAGTAACAATATTCTTTGTTTTTCTCCAACATACGAAGCGTGTCCCAAAAGTAAGGTTCCATGCTCCTAGAGCCAAAAATAAATAAATTTTTCAAAATTTGCTAACACTGTTGTGTAGTATCAGTCGTACCCTTTCCAACGAGAGGCGGCTCAACTTGATCCGATGTTTAGTTTGTGTCTAACACACGTTTAAGATGGACACTTCTATGTCGGCCGCTGCCACCTCTATTCTAAGCGCCAACGCATTGAGACTTCTCAAGAATTTTTGTCTCGTTATGCCGAACAAGGAGAGGTTTTTTTAGACTTCATAGTAACGGTTGATGACTGATGAGACAAGGGTTTACCATTTCACCCCTGAGTCCAAACAACAGCCACTGGAGTGGAGATATTCTCGCTCACCGAAAAAAGAAAGTTGAAAGTGACGCAGTCTGCTTGAAAAATCATGGACACTGCTTTTTGGGACAGGAAAGAAGTTCTTTTGATTGAGTTTATGTCAACTGGGACAACCATCAATGCAGCTTTGTATTGTGAGATTTTGAAAAAACTTTGCGACCATCCAAAATCGAAGACAAGGCATGCTGATGAAGAGGGTTTGTCTCTTGCATGACAATGTCCGGCTCCACGTTGCCCGTTATACAAAAGGTCTCTCGGAAAAGTTTGGTTGGGATGTGATCTCCCATCCCCCTTTAGCTCAGTTCTTCAACTTAAAGAAACATTTGGGAGGAAAACGGTTAGACGGATGAAGAAGTGAAGCCGTCTTCACTTCTGTAAGTCACCCAATATCTAAATAAGGAGCTGGCGGCAGTTTCTGTGAGGCTGACATACAAAAACTTCCAGTGCGCCTTGAAAAATGTATCTAAGTAAATGGCGATTATGTGGAAAAATAACTCTTAAGTACTGTTTAAATACCTATGTAAAACATGTTTTGAATAAAGCTTATTTATTATTATAATTATGAGCCTATATTATAGACCTTACTTTTGGGACATGCCTCGTATAATAATAATTAAAGTATTTTTAATATTGGAAAAAGGAATTTTAATGTTACAAAATAATATGATCTCTAATAATTATTATTTTTTATCAAAAAAAAAAAGCAACTGACACAGTTTTTAAAACCAAAGCAATAAAGAAAATTGTATATTAGTTATAACTGCTATTTAATACCTATTTGTATTTTTAGTTCAGCAGATGTTTTTTAATAAAACAAAAGTTATGAAAATACACAAGCAGAAATAATTGGACAATATAATATTTGACTTAATAATTAAAATGCAAATTTGTCAAGTAAAATAACAATTAACTGTGCATAATATTAGAAAAATACAATCTAATTGAAGATAAAAAGTATCTACTATTTATAAGGAAATATTATCTCTTTATTTATAAAATATTTGATAAACTTCTAAGAATCAACTTCACAAGCTCAGACCATACAAATCACTAGCAATAAATAAAAACTTTCTTGAAACATGCAATATGAATTAATAGTAAAATAAATTACTATTTTTTTATAGCATACAACCAAAATTGGAAAAGGCACACACTCAAACAGAATTTACCTGATCGACATTTCCAGCCGATTGTTGATTGCCGGCCGCACTCACTAGTCTTTGCTATGTTTCAAGAATACATAAAATTAATTAATTTTCTGATTCCTAAGTAGTTTTATTTTACTTCTAACATAAATATATAAAAAATTTAATTTGCAATACCTTTAGTATTAATTTAATCTGCAATTTTACTTAACTAATTCTTAATTATAAATTGATTTTAGTGTAATATATTGCTAATAAATAAAGTTTTAAATAACATTTTAAATATTTTACCTGAAGTTCTTTGGGATTAACAAATTCTAATGCATGCCTTTTAATAGCATTAAAGGCAGCATTAGGTGCATAACCAGGATGAGGTGTTGGTGGTGCTGGAGCTGGTATTTCACTACGACCACTTTGAGACAATTGTCTTCTTCGAACAGCCATCATTCTCAATACCTTCAAATGAGAAAAATAGTTAACTGTATAATATATTAAGTAATAACGAATAATTTGTAACACTTACATCAGGATTACAGT